CTTGGCAGACTATCAGATTTCAAGCTATTCTACAAATCTATTTGGTACTTACTATAATAGGAAAGCTGATCAATGGATCAGGTAAGATACACAAAACATGAAAACAATAAACATAGTAGCATATTGTTCAATAAACCCAAGAACTAATGAGGAAAGGACAAACTATTCTATACTAACTACTCAGAAAATTGGCAAGCCCTCAGAGAAATTAGGCTTAGACTAATATCTCACACAATAAACCATATATTAATAACAGCTAGCATTTATAGAGTGTTTTAAGGTTTGCAAAGCACCTTACAAATATTATTTCATTTAATCCTCACAATAAATTTAGGCTGTAGGTTCTATTTTTATACCCATTTTACAAGTGAGGAAACTGATGTAGACAGAGGTTATACAGATCACAGATCTAGTAAATGTCTAAGATAATTCAAATAAGTCTCCCTGATTTCAGGCCTTGAGCTTTATCTACTCTGCCACCTAGCAACCTATAATGAATTCAAAAGTGGATACATAACCTACAAATAAAAGATCATATCATAAACCCATTAGAAAAGGGAAATAATGCCTTTCACAAAACTGGATAGGGAAAAAGTACTTAACCAAACAAAATACGGATAACCACAAAATATAAAACAGAATACTTGTATGACAAAAAAATCCACAAGTTTTTGCATAATGTAGTTGGATTTGAAGGGAAACAGTGAGCTGGGAAGAATCTTTAAAATTAATTTCTCTAAATAAGGGAGATATATACAATATATAGGGAATGGATACAAATGTTTAAGCCATTTCCCAAGAGATAAATGGTTCAAGGATACAAACAGACTTTAATGGTAATCCATCACCAGACTTGGAAAAAAAAATGCTCCCAATCACCAACAATAAAGAGAAATGCAAATTAAAATGCAAATTCCACCTGATACCTATCAGATTGGCAGAGACAACCTCCACCCCCCCCTCCAAAAAAAAAAAAAAGAAAAAGAAAATTGTCAATGGGACTTTGGGAGAGAACGCACACCAATGCACTGTTCCTGAAGCTGTGAATCAGTCTAGCCATTCTGAAAAGCAATGCAGACCAATACCAAAAGTCACTAAACTGTGTATATACCCTCTGACCCATGATACCACTATCAGACATATACCCTCAAAGAAATTAAAGAGAGGGGAAAGATCTCCAAGTACAAAAATATTTCTAGAAACATTTTTTTGTTTCTAGCATATAACTGGAAATATAGCGGGTGCCCATTAATTGTGGAATGGCTAAACAAATTATGGTATATGAAGATTCTTGTGCCATAAGAAATGATGAAAGAGAAAAATGCAATGAGACATATAAAAGATTTATAGGAAGTGATGCAGAGTGAAGAGAGGATAACCAAGAAAACGATTTATATAATAACTACAATATTGTAAAGGAAAATAACTTTGAAGGACTGAAGAACTCTAGTCAATACCATAATTAGTCATGATTCCAGAAGACTGAAGATGAAGCATGCATCCCACCTCTTAGCAGAGCAGTGGTAGATTTTAGGTGCAGAATGAGACCTAATATTTTCAGATATAATGTGCGATTTGCCTTGCTTGACTATACTGATTTTTAACAAGAGAAACGTTTTATAGGAGTGTGTGTGTGTTCTGGAAAGAGGAGAGGCTAGGGGACAGTGATCTGAAGAAAAGAATGTAATTGAAACATTTAAAGAATATTAAGAGCAAGAAAGGAGGAGGGAGTTCAAAAAAGGCCATAGACAAGCAGGGCAATGTTGATACTACTTTATTGAAATATACTTTAAAAGTCTTTTCAATTGTTTTCCTCTATTTCTGAAATGAGTGTGTTGAATTCATACAATTCCTATACATGTACTGGTAACTAGACTCCCAAATATCCTATAGTGATTTTGGATGGAATTTCCTTGTCTACATTTTTCTGCTGGTGGATTTTGTTGGCAATTTCCAGGAAGGCTGATGATGTGGGGAGGGGTGGGGTATTTAATATCCTATTTTCTGAAGTTATGAATAGATGTTCACTGTTTCATGCACAAGCTTCTTTGTTTTCTGCATATGGAACTGTTCGTGTTTGTTGCTGATTGTCAAGTTCGTAATAAAAAGAAATTTTTTTAAAATAAATAGCATGAACTACCTCAGAAGGTAGTAGGTTACCTTTCACTAGTGGTTTTCAAGCAAAGATTAGACAATTACAAGAGGTCTACACAGACACGTTACAGAAATGATTTTTATTTAGTTATGAATGGAAATAAATCCTTTCCAATTCTGTGATGCTGTGCAAAGCATCACGAAAATGAACAGTGGGTATTCAGGGGTCTGGATGGTTTTTGTTGTTGTTTTTTTGTGTACTTGTGATTTCATTTTTATGGGGAATTTTCAGACAGAAAACTCCCTCTACCAAAACAAATCAGCAACTATAGCTGATCTCATCTCCTACTCTCTTCTCTTTTCTCTATCTCCGACAAAGAGGCAGTCTCTTCTCCTTCCCAAAGTGACCCCCTCTACATATGTACGTGATACCATCATCTCCCATTTTCTGCATTCTCAATCATCTCCTCCCCTTCCTTCCTCCCCCTCCCCCTCCCTCTCTTTTTCTTTCTCTCTCTAATATTCAGTGTTCCACTGTCTACTGACTCTTTCACTACTGCCTTCAAACATGCACAAGTTTTCCCCAACCCTAAAAGACCTTCACTAGACCCCACTTTCCCCTCAGGCTTGTATCTCCCCCTGCCTTCTCAGCCAAACTCCTAGAAGCAGCCATCTACACTTATTATCTCCACTTCCTTTCTTCTGACTCACTCCTTCACCCTTTGCATTCTGGCTTCCAACCTCATAACTCAATTGAACCTGCTCTCTCCAAAATTTGCTGTGTTAACCTGGTTAAAATGACACTTTTCTTTTACACAAACAATTAATCAGTCAACTCTTAATCATTCACAATAGAACTATTGTATGAATGATCCAAAATAGCAACTTTATGAAAATTCATCTGAATTAAAGTTTTGTGCGTACAAATCTACTTACATTTGAATATAGTAGGGTCTAGTTTTTAGCAATTCAGTTCAAATTTTTTAAAAAGGCACATTCATACTGTTATGATTTTACTCGGAGGCAGCCAAAAAGCTCAACAAGCATCCCTTCCTGCTCCATTACTACCTGCTGACCACCATCCTAGCTTCTCTCTCCATGCCACACACTTGATTTAAACTTTCTCAAACCTCAGTAGCAGGGAAAGTTATTACATGATAGGGCTTCAAGGAGCATTTTATACACAGAAATAAATAGGACTAGAACTGTCAAAAAGTAGTACTTAAATAGTTCAGGTGACTTCCACACCCTGGAGAGCAAGAGTTCAGATAATACATCCCATAAACAAGAGTTAATTATAAAACACGATGCTGAAGTTGCCTTCAGGAGGAAATCTCACATTGGTATTAGAAGCTTATTTTTTTTAAAGCTGCTTAATGAAGTTTCATCTGCTCATTTTCTAAATCATGATGCATACTTTGTCTTAACATTTATGAATTTTGTAAGTAGATTTTAAATGGAGTCAAAGAGCAAACATAAAAATCCAAGCTTTACAAAAAACTTGACCTTTGACAAATCAGTGTCACTTTCAAAATCCCTTTTATCTAAAAAGTAAACCCACGCCAACACACAGCAAGACGCCTGAAAAACCAGAGAAGTATTTTAATGTAGCAAAATGTGAGTTGATATATTTAAATTCATCAGAAATACGGTTTTTAAGACCAAAAAGGTCATTTAGCTTTTTCACCTCCCATGTAAATGAAGCTATCCAAAATGCTATTCAGTGATGCCAAGTAAAACTGAGATAAATGAACTGTTCATCAAGGAAAACAAAATAAACACAAAATGCTATGGAATGAATTACGAGGCAGTGCCCCCAGGGCTTACACTGTGAGTAGTATCTTCTAAGTACTAAAAATAATAACAACTTCACATAGGTGAGGAAGAGATTAGAAAGCAGTTTCTTATTGGAGTGGGATCAGATCTTTCACTGAGCACTCTCCCATACATTCCTGAAATTTTTATCTTCTTGACCTGAATATTAACAGGATATTCTACTAAACTGCTTAATTTCAAATCTCCCAAGGACTCTTTTTGTATCCCACTTGTGCCTCACTTACTGTGCTACAAATTCCCTCTCTCTCCAATAAGGTGCAATAGAATAATCTTTTATGTAGAATAGTGGCTCTACACAATCATTAGTTTTTAAAAACCCACCAAAAATGAAATCTTTTTGTTTTAGTGTTGGGGAAGAACCTAGTACTTTAGAAAATACTTTCATCTTGGTACAGGGTTCTCTAAATATAACAATTATGATTCAACAGGAAACTGGTTAAGTCAAGCAAAAAGTTCAGCATGTTTTTTAAGATTTTGCTGTCTCAGTGGTTACAGTTTTAAACCACAATTCTGCATCTTGGACACAAAAACTTGACACTACGCTTATTGGCTGATGTTTTTAGCATGCAAATGCAATAAGCCTTAGCAACAATGGGACTTCAGAAAGCAGTATTATCCCTAACTCATTTCCCTAGATGTTTTGTGAAATTCCTGCTAAACATAAAAACGGATTTCTTCCCCAAAGAAAAATAAGGTTAAACATATTTGTTTAACTTAATGTTATTTTGGTTTAACATAATTTCTAGCCTGTGATTCATATTATTAATGACATTATGATCTCAATTAGCATTATATCCGGTAGCCGTAATTCAGCTAGCTCTTTAATTACTGTACTCCATTCATTTTAGGCATATACCTGAGATTTAGTGTTAGAGGGAGCTGCTGAAATGAATTTAGTCTAACCCTCTCATTTTACAGATTAGGTAAACTGGGATCTTAAACCTAAAAAGTATTTCTTTTAACATCATTCTTTCATCTTAAGAAAACTTAGGTAACTCCAACTGAGGGGCATGTGAGTGAATGACAAGCAAGAAAGCAAAGACAAATTTTCTGGAATACAAGCTACCTACCTTTGTCCGATTCCAATGTATTCTTGTTAGTACTGACCAGAAACGGGGAAGCCCTGGCACATCTTTTCGTCAGATCACTAAGAAGAAGAGGCACACACACACACAAGAAAAAAAAAGACTCAGGGACAAAAATCAAAAAATTCATCTTTCTTTAAAATGCAGATGATCTGGTATATGAAGCATCTGAAGAAAGAATACAAAAGTTACTTGTAAAGTATGATACATTCCTATATACACTATCTCAACTAAACAGTATCTTTCCATAGTTCTTAATATTTGATTTCAAACTATGTTTTTTGAATCATGAAAAGCAACAGGTCAAAACCACACATAATAGTAGGAAGCTACTGTAAAATGTAAAACCAAATTTAGCAACTCTCAGAGATTAGAATCTTCCCCACAAGAGGTCACTATTATGGCACTGAAAGAACTCTATTTCACTTAGAAGCATACGCTTTTTTTTTTTTAAAGAGCTCCCAGTGATCTTCAGCATCATACAGTGTTCCTTATAGTTATAGTCTATGGATCCTTGGGGGTCACTTTTCAGAGGGTCCTCAAGGTCAAAATTATTTTCATAATACTAAGACATTATTTGACCATTAACATACTCTTCACTTTCCAGCTAAATATCTGTGTAAGGCCAAATTTTCTTCATATACTTCAAAACAACATATCACAATAGATTATGCAAAAGCAGATATAAGAATCCAGCTGTCAGGATCTAGCCAGAGATTTGCAAATGCATATGTGTGTATCTTTAAATGCCACTCTTAACTTTGAAGGAAATATGGTTATCTTTCATAAAAATATATTAACATGTAATGAGTTTGTAATTTTAAATATTTATTTACAATTTAAAACATCTAATTTTAATTAAAATTTAAATGTTAAAATATTATTTAAAATCTGAGTATTTTAAATAAATATTTAAATAGCTTAATTTATCTATTTTAATTTTTAATATGACAAATATTGATATAATACACAAAAAGCTCTCTGGGTCCTCAATAATTTTTAAGCACGTTAAGGAGTCTTGAGACCAAAAAGTTGTAGTCCAATTTCCCTCATTTTAGAGAAATAAGAAGTTCACAGAGGTTCAGTGGTTTGTTCAAGATCACATACTTAGACACCAACCAAACCTGGTCCCCTGAGTCCCAAGCCAGTGTTCTTTCCACTGGATCTCACTGCTTCCCTGTTTTGATAAGAAAAATCCAAAACTAATGAAGCTGATATTCTAAAAAAGCATACTTTTATATTTATAAATATAAAAAAAATTACCAGAATGCATGTAAATACTGGTGGTTATCGGTTTATAAAGGGGCTCATTATATTCCAAAAGTATACTTGTAAGTAAACTGTTTAGAACTCAGAACAAATTTTTCCATGGAGACAACATTTATCAAAAACAGATTAGCTGGGTTGAGCCTGGGAGGCCTAGAAGACTGCTCCTGCAGTTTCCAGGGGAGCAGTCCTCAAAAGCTCCTCAGCCCATAGAACAAAAGCAATGCCATGGACTCTGAGAGAAGTGTTAATGCACAGTAATCATCCTCTGTGCACATGGGCCATTGTAAACAGGTTTAGGTTCTAAAGCAGTGGGTACACTACACAGGAAATATGTTTTCTTTTGCAGCATCCAAAACTTACATCATTGAGGGCAGTGACTGACTTTTGCCTTTCTTTGTATCCCCAGCACTCAGCACAGGGCTTGGCACAAGTATTTAAATAAGGTTTACTGACTACAAAAATTGTGTAAAAAATGTGATAGGCAGGCTCAGAATAGGGAACTAGACTGTGATTGCATTGGATTAGGGAGATCCTGGATATAGGCATTGCTTCTACGAATGCTGGCTGGTACCTTCTCTAGAGCTTATGGTCTTAAGAGTTAATTACAACACTGAAAGATGAAGCGAGTGACTTGGCCAGGGTCACATAGTAAGCATGTGTCAGAGGAAGGACTTGAACTCATGTCTTTTTGGCTTTGAGACCAGCAGTCCACAGCTGCAAATATGAAATGTGGAAAATAAAAAATAAGAGAACCTGCTCTGAAGTTGGGTTGGTTTTTTATTTTGGTAACAAAACTTATTTGTACCATGAAATTCATTATCCCAAATGGCCTAACACGTATTCATATGTATTGCCATATTGCCAGTCAAATCTAGCCACACATGTGTATATAGGTATAATATGTGTGTGTGTCTGTGTGTGTTTGTGTGTGTACTCACAAGTATATACTCCATTCCCCACACCGGCAGCATCTTGTCCTCTATTCCTACCTCTAGTAAATGCAGACACAAGTCTGAACACTACCAGGCCACCTAGGTGGTATAGTGGATAGAGCATTGAGTCTGAAGTCAGAAAGAGCCAAGTCCAAATCCAGCCTTAGATGTTTACTAGCTTGTGTGACCCTGGGCAAATCACTTAACCTCTCTTTGCCTCAATTTCCTCAACTGTAAAATGGAGTTAATAATAGTACCTACTTCATTAGGGTTGTAATGATCAAACTGAAATAATATTTATTAAATGCTTGGCATATACAATGCATGGTACATAGTACGTACTTAATAAATACTGGTTCACTATGTTACCAGGAATTGCTCTTGTTTTGGGATCATCTCCAGATAAGTCCCCTGACTAGCAAAGACCTCTTCCTCAATTTCTGTCTACATTGCTGTCCCTCCAAACCTCAGGCTTTCTATAAAAACAGACATACCATCATTTCCTACTTCATTTTGCCTTTTTAGAAAAGGACACAAAAGATTGAGCTAAACTCACAAAAAATGTTTTGGCTTTATAATGCTCTGGAATAACCACTTTATTTTAACATGCAAATTTAAAATGTAGATCTTGTGGCAGAAAGCTATTGGCTTAAGAGAAATACCAATCAAAATCCCAGGATATAGGATGTTGTGTGATCATCAGCGAGAAAAGGGATTCAGAGGAAGGCAGAAAGAAATCAGCCCAATGGGAAAAAAAAAATTCAACAACCAGGGCCTATCTCAGAAGGGCCTGGGGCGAAGGAGGTTCCCATGCTTAGCAAACCAGGAAAAGAGGGAAAGGAAGCACTTATGAACCCATGGTTCTTCTCTAAGTTTAGATAAGAGGGAGTGGGACATTGCAATGTACAGAACTGGAAAGTAGGTCTCCCTAATCATCACCAGGTCAAAGTTGTTTATCCTGCCCCACTTGGCCAAATAAAAAAAAAAGAATCACAAACACTAATATTAATACTTTAGAAAATATTCTGATATCACATGCTCCTCTACAGTGTCAAAAGCATCTCCTTCCCTTCTACCTAACAGAAGCAAAGCTCTGCAATGACACTTTCCTTAGTGTCTTTTAAACTCATCTTATAGAATAATTTGGCACAAGAAGACTTCGGCCACCATCTAGGGCAACCACCCATTCCATGAAGGAGTCCCTTACACAACACTCCTGATATATAATTATCCAGCTTCTGCTTGAATGTACCCAGTGACAGTAACCTCACCTTATTATGTCACAAGGCAGCCTATTCTATTATTTCAATAGCTCGGTTAAAAACTTTCTCCTCTTGTAATCTGCTGAAATTTACAGCTACAAATTATTAGATCTGGAAGGGTCCTTTGCAGTCCTCTAGTCCTACCTCCATATAACATACCCAGTGGGCCAAATTTTACTCTCTAGTGCTACAGAGAATAATTTTAATTGCATGAGCTCCTGATTCCAACACCTGAAAAAATCTGATAATCATGGCTTCTAATCAACCCATTAATAAAGACACCAAATAGGACAGGAATAGAATCACATACCACACTAAAGACCTCTCTCTCTAGGTTCAAATCAATCCAATTAGTAAAATGACAAATCAAACACGAATTTCTTTGTAAGTACAATGTCCTAAACTAGACACTGGAGATACAAAGATGTTAACTTAGAAAGAAATTTATGTTTTGGGAGGCACAACTCTACCCAGACAAACTAGATGGTCTAATTCAGGGTACTAAATTATTTAAGACTACATGTAACAAACACTCAAATCCCTAAAACAGTTTTTCCAGTTTTCTTAATTACTCACTACCAGGAATTACCAGCTTAGAAAATTGCCCCCAAAGCAAGTCTTAAACACTGTACTAGAAAATAAAGGTACCCTCTGAGTACAGAGATGAAGTGATTTATTGCTGCCATGTGAAAATATTTATATAGTACTTTAATGTTTGCAGAATACTTTCCCCACAACAATCCAATGAGGCAGTTACTATAGACAAGTTACTTGACCATGGTCAGTCATATGGCTAGGAAGCATTCAAGAATTCTAACAGAAGTCTCAAGGTTCCAAATACAAGTCTTCCCATAATTCTATACTGCCTTCTAGCCTCTGAATTAGCCTGAATGCTAAGATTTTACTGTTAACAGAAGCACTACTATAAAATAATGTAAATAAGGAAAGGGTAAAGGGAATAAAAGAGATCATTTAGCATTAGATGGAAAAAATGTAGAAAATGTTGGCCAAAACATTTTACTGCCCCAGAAAACAGACGCTTCATTTATTAGACTTAAACTCAATTTGTGGCATTAACATAATAACATCTTGTTTTTAAAGCAAATGCTTGAGCTAAGTTACAAAATACAAATTATAACTGCTACACTTAAATTTAACCAATTTAAAACATTTTCTTAAAAGAATGTCTCTTTATTAAAACATTATATCCATTTTACCCAAACATCAAAAATAAAAACACTGCACAAAAATGATATCCTCAATTTTATTTACAATAAAGAAATCTGAAGAGGACTTAGAATTATTCAAGACCTCAGAATGGATATATACACACACACATGTGTACTTAAAAATTCTTCTATGTTAGATGACAAACTAACATTTTTAACAACTACTAGCTTTGCCACTGGATAGACTCTAGGGAAGCCACTTCAGGCCTGTTGCTTCAAATGTAAAATGAAGGAATTGTACTAAGTAGTGTCTCTTAATGTTCTGTTTTTCAGATCCTCTATTTTCTTCTTTACTTTTTTCCTTAAACCTTACTGTACATGGTCAAAACTCACTCATTCAAACTAAATGAAAGAAAGATCAGTCTGAATT